TGTTTCGTTCAGTTACCATCTCATCCATCTTTCCTCTTATTGAATGGCACTCAGTTCTTAATGTATCAGCTTCAACGTCTCTGGCAGAATATCTTTCGACTTCCTCCTTTAGGTCCTCGATCTCTGATAACAGCGACTCTAAGCTTTTGTTCATTTCCAGCGACTGCTGTTTTAGTCTATCATTTTCTTCAGCCATATCATCATGACATTTCTTCAAGATGTCCCTTTCTGCTGAAATGATGGCTAATTTTTTGTGATTTGCGAGAAAAGTTTCTTCGATACTTAAATCATCACAGAATTCAGCTTGAATTCTGTTTCGTTCAGTTACCATCTCTTCCATCTTTCCTCTTATTGAATAGCACTCAGTTCTTAATGTATCAGCTTCAACTTCTCTGGCAGAAGATCTTTCGACTTCATGCTTTGGGTCCTCGATCTCTGATAACAGCGACTCTATGCTTTTGTTCATTTCCAGCGCCTGCCGTTTTAGTCTATCATTTTCTTCAACAATATCATCATGACTTGTCTTCAAGACGTCCCTTTCTGCTGAAATGATGGCTAATTTTTTGTGATTTTTGTTCATTTCCAGCGCCTGCCGTTTTAGTCTATCATTTTCTTCAACAATATCATCATGACTTGTCTTCAAGACGTCCCTTTCTGCTGAAATGATGGCTAATTTTTTGTGATTTTTGTTCATTTCCAGCGCCTGCCGTTTTAGTCTATCATTTTCTTCAACAATATCATCATGACTTGTCTTCAAGACGTCCCTTTCTGCTGAAATGATGGCTAATTTTTTGTGATTTTTGTTCATTTCCAGCGCCTGCCGTTTTAGTCTATCATTTTCTTCAACAATATCATCATGACTTGTCTTCAAGACGTCCCTTTCTGCTGAAATGATGGCTAATTTTTTGTGATTTTTGTTCATTTCCAGCGCCTGCCGTTTTAGTCTATCATTTTCTTCAACAATATCATCATGACTTGTCTTCAAGACGTCCCTTTCTGCTGAAATGATGGCTAATTTTTTGTGATTTTTGTTCATTTCCAGCGCCTGCCGTTTTAGTCTATCATTTTCTTCAACAATATCATCATGACTTGTCTTCAAGACGTCCCTTTCTGCTGAAATGATGGCTAATTTTTTGTGATTTTTGTTCATTTCCAGCGCCTGCCGTTTTAGTCTATCATTTTCTTCAACAATATCATCATGACTTGTCTTCAAGACGTCCCTTTCTGCTGAAATGATGGCTAATTTTTTGTGATTTTTGTTCATTTCCAGCGCCTGCCGTTTTAGTCTATCATTTTCTTCAACAATATCATCATGACTTGTCTTCAAGACGTCCCTTTCTGCTGAAATGATGGCTAATTTTTTGTGATTTGCGAGAAAAGTTTCTTCGATACTTAAATCATCACAGAATTCAGCTTGAATTCTGTTTCGTTCAGTTACCATCTCATCCATCTTTCCTCTTATTGAATGGCACTCAGTTCTTAATGTATCAGCTTCAACGTCTCTGGCAGAATATCTTTCGACTTCCTCCTTTAGGTCCTCGATCTCTGATAACAGCGACTCTACGCTTTTGTTCATTTCCAGCGACTGCAGTTTTAGTCTATCATTTTCTTCAGCCATATCATCATGACATTTCTTCAAGATGTTCCTCTCTGCTGATAGCATAACCATTTCATTGCATCTCTCAAGCAATTCTTCTGATTTATCGCGTAAGCTGGCTCCCAATCTATCATTTTCTATCATATATTTATTTAATATATGTTTTATTGCTGCGTATTTATTTCTTGATTCACCTGCTTCCTCTTCAGCTTTCCGAAGTGTGTCAATATCATGTTTCTGGCCCTCAATTATATTTGTCATCCATTCTATCAATTCGTTTGAGAGATTTATTCCTTCTAACAAGACATCACTCTCGGCTGACACCGCAGCCAGTTTGGCATTTAACTTAGTTATACGCTGTTCCAACAGCGGGCAGATACCGCACTGGTTTATCAGGTCGTACTCGTCAGTACTGTCTTCTAGGTCAATAGCTCTTGAAAATTTTCTTTTATATGCTTCCAATATCACAAACCTGCATTAAAATAAGATTTGTCCAAGTAATTTATACTTTTACAATATATAGATGCTCTTTAAATTCACCAGGAAATCCAGAACATATCCAGTATAATTTCTTATTAATGCTTAAATTTACAAATCTAAAACTTTTGTCTTCTGTGGACAGATTATTTTGCTATTTTGTGAAAAAGCACTTACTTTTTAATGTTGATTGTTTTATATTATGAAATAATATACCAATTACGAACTAAATAATTAATTACATATTATAACGTCGTTAAATTAACAAGAGTTATAAGCAACTGATACAGAATTAAAAACGTCAAGTATTTGACAAATGAACGTTATTTACTGTACTCTAACAGAATTTTAAAGCATCGATTATGTTATAAATGCACATTTTTTAAAATCACTTCAATGAATAATCTTTCCGAGCTCGTCTCTTCACACAGGAGACATTTCTCCTTCGACGCACAAATTTTATGGACAACTCTGTGCGTAATTTATGAAACGGATTAATCTACGTAATTTTCGGTGTTGGGTTTCCAAATGTAGACTATTTTACGTCCTTACCACTTTTAGTACTGGTATAATAACATTCTGGGCACCCCTTCTCCTATATTTCTGAATATAAAGACGACAATAATTTTCTTGGAGTTGTATTTCCAAGTTCTTTTACGAAATATGGGAATAGTTGATATACGTTTTGTTGACAACCCGAGTATACATTTCCAATAAAATTCTCACGGTTTGTCTTTTCAGGGAATAACTTATTATTTTTTATGAAACGCCATTGTCTTACACACATCTATGACCAACCTCCCATAATGGAGAATTTTGTATTTCTTAAAGTTATGTCTCCAAGAGGAACTTTGTTTTTGTTTGCCATTTTTTCTACGACGCGCCATTTGGTATAAACATTCAATTGTGTAATTGTGAAATTCATTACATGTGAGTCATTGGGCTAATCAGTTGATGAACCTGTTATTTATAACCATTAATCTGGTGTTTAAAATAGTGAGGTTCACTCACTCACCTGGGATTGCTATCTTCGTGGTCCTCTCCGTAATACGTGATGGAATTCTGCAAAAACAGGAAGTATCATAAGCGCATGAAACACTGAAATATCGCAAGTCCATACTTACAGAGCGTTTTACGGTCTATAACATTGGAAAAATATGTATGACCAGTATTCTGTGACATTTATTTAAACACTGAATCATCACAGTGTACCAGAGAAATATTGAAACTCTGGTTCGTTAAGTACGAGGCGCGTCCCAAAAGTAAGTTTCCCACTCGTCCCACAGCTAGCAAACCTTATATTGCGCGAAGCGACTGTGCCTACGTGATAGAGCAATGACGTAGCATGGCGCATGCACTAACGGTACTTCCCGCGTTCTCACAGTAGCATCGTTGCAGCTGTTGAAGATGGAGGTTCTTATTCCAGCTCCCGCCGACTGTGAAGTGCGGTCAGTGATAACGCTAGGCCGCACACGGCTCGACGGACAGCAAGTCTCCTGCAGGAGTTCAGCTGGGAGGTGTTTAATCATTTCTACGACACAGGTATTCAAAAGTTGGTCCTACGGTATGACAAATGTCTCAATTCCGGTGGCGAATATGTTGAAAAATAGCTGGACACTTGCTGTATCTGTTGCAATAAATATTTCCATGAAATTGTGTTTTGTTTCTGTAAACGGCCCCAGGGAAACTTACTTTGTGGACGAGCCTCGTATATCTTATGTCAGATCCATTTTAATCTTACTACTTCTCATAAGTCGTCCCGAATGTCCTAAGCGTTTCCAAATTCCCCCATGCTTACTTAAACTGCACAACGGATCTTAAAACCTTGCATAACGTATAGTGTATTGGAATGTAAATCATGCATACGTACAAAACTGTTTACACTTTGAAGGACACTAATGCAAAACGCGTTTCGACCTCAAGAGGTCATCATCAGTGGAAAAATAAATTAATTTATATAATACAAATCAAAAACTATGGTGTTTTACCGAGAATAAAAGGTGTGTAATTTACAAGACCATACTTATGTAACACCTCACTGGACGTTGATGGCACAGGAGTTGGTGTACTTAGCTTTTATGTCCACAGACCTAATTGCCGTTGGTGGTCTACGATGAGCCACATCGTTCAACAGGCAATGTCTACGTTATAAAGTCTGTCCTAACGATGTCAAAATTAAAGTAACAACAAATGGCATAGTTGCCAAAAAAACAAACAAAAACATCTGTTGAAATTAAAATAAAACAAGAAATAAATAAAGAATTGTGTGCAACATGGCTACAGGCAAATACACACTGGGGTGTTTAATGGCCCGCGATCGAGGTGTTAATCAAAAATTAAAACAAGAACTAGATATAAAGTATAATATCCTGAACAAAAAATTAGATAACTTGACAAAAAAGACTACTCACATAAACTCAAATGCAACCAGCGTTTCTTCCGAAGAGTCAAAAACCTAACACAATTCACATTTAATCATAGAGAAATTGATCTCTTAAGCAAAGGACTGCAACACAACTTACAGTATACACACCCCTAACGAATTGCTAGAAAACCTTGTATTAAACAGATTGCACAAAATACCAATTGCCAAAGAAGAGTTTGATAAAGAAACTAAGCTTATCCAAGATATAGGACACAATAACGGTTATAACTCCAGAGACATAAAAATTCCTATAACCTAATTAAAACACCTAAACTCCCTATCAATGTAGCCCAACCCACCACAAATACTAAAATATGGTCCAGTTTCACATTCTTTGGTAATAGTATTAGAACACTTACCAAAATATTCAAAAACACGAATGTCAAAGTAGCCTACAAAGGGGTCTCCCAGATATGGAGTAAGCTGTTACAGATGTAAAGAGAATATCAACCATTACATTCGAACGTGTTATAAAAAAACAGAGAACACTAACATATACCGAAATGAGTGGAAGTATCAAAAGGTAAGGCCTTTCTAGTTTTACTAAAACTACAGTATATATTGCCAGCATAAGCTGTTCATCTTCAAAACCAGTTTTTAACACGTTTTTCTTTGCGAAAGAAAACTGAAGGCACCATGCACTGTCCGTGTACTTTATAACCGATTTGCAAGAAATATGATGTGAAAGCTTAGAATATAAACATACCAATAAATTCTGCATGTAATATTATTTCTCGGTAAAGCATGGATATGATGTTTACGTGGGCAAAATTCCTATCTGTCTTTGCTGATACGTTGTGTTGTATTGAAACAGGCAGTTTAAATAACTTAGGAATTCTTCTAAATGTACTGGTACGACAGATAGCTGCTCGTTAATTATTACTTACCCCAGTGAAGAAATTGCACAGAGATTTCCACAATCTGTATGGAACGTGATAAATGTTGGCTCGTTCTATAAATCCATTCATTTTGCGAACGTCGTTCTGCTTTAGCTCCTTTTGGTAGATTGAGGTGTTTCTATATAAACAAACTAGTTTACAGCCAACAATTGGTTAGAGGGAAACGTAGATTAAATGTATTGTTGATACACCGCTGTGCCCGGCGTAAGCTGGGCACAACAATCAATTGTTTAAAGACTCTTCAGATATTCCCCTCCATCTTTGTTTGTTTGTTTGTCATCAGTCTTTCGACTGGTTTGATGCGGTCATCCATTTTCGCCTATCTAGCGCCAATCTCTTCATTTCCACATATTTTTTTTACGTAAATACGTCTATACGGAAGGGTCATTCGGCAAAAAAGCGTACACATCTTCGTTGTGCTTTGGTTAATTCGCTGATGAACCTTCGGGATCGGTATGCCATCTAGTTAGTTAGTTGATACACCGATTAGACGCAATACTCGCGACATCTATCGGTCCCGAGTAGAGTTACTTGAACGAAGTAACACACTACTTCAAAACCTTCCTCGTTCGTCGGAACCAATTAGCTGCGTATTTTGAAATTGAGGTTAGAATTGTCTGTGATTCTGAACAAAGACTGTTAAATGATAAATGGTCGAAATGTTATATTCTCGTAATTCAAGAAAATTTAAAAGTAAGGTAAGTTTTGGTTTTATATATGATCTACTTTTGTGCACGGTGTTTTTTATTTTCATGATTGTGTTCTGATTCGTGCGTATTTAAGCATACATTCATGTTACAGATTTGGAGTTCTGCAAGTCTTGTTGCTGTCGCATTTAGATATTAAAAAAGTATTATTTAAAATTGCAATTGAATGTAGTTAAATTTCTTGGACGTAACCTCAAAACTCCACATCATTCCCGGTGCACACCTCTTGCCCTATCCATGCACGCACATGCCTCGCCCATCTCATTCTTCTCGACCCTGACAATATTGGGCGAGGAGCATACATTTTTAAGCTCATCATTATGCAGTTTTTTCCATACCCCATCATCTTCTGTCCTAGGCCCACCTGTAATCTGTATTCCTCACTCAGAGTGAGAGAACATGTTTTGAACCCACACAAAACAACAGGCAAAATTATTGTTTTATATATTTTAATCTTCAGGATCTTAGAAATCAGAAGGGAAGACAAAATATTTTGAACTGAAAAGTAGCAAGCATTTCTGGAATTTAGTATCCTCATGAATATAATTTTGATTTGTTATCTTGTTTCCAAGTATTTTAACTTTGTCACACTTTCAAAGGATTTATTAGCCACCCTAAGATAATTCTACCTTCCTGTCTACTGACAAGATACTAACATGTACTTAGTTTTTTTTTAATTTACTTCTAGCACCACCTTTCTACTAGCGTCTAGTAAAACTTATGATTTCCTCTTTCTCATATTTATATCTTCACCCAATAAATTAATTTCATCAGCAAATACCAACAGCTGATGTGTCTCATTCAATTGCAAACCATCCTGCCTATCTTGGACTTACCTGATGGCATATCATAACACAAAGTTACAAAACAATGGAGACAAAGTATCTCCCTGTTTCAGACAGTTCTTGGTGGAAAATGATTCAGATATATATTAACTTATACAAATTTTGCTACAGATTTCATTTGAGCACATTTTTATTAGACTCACTGGCTTCTTTGGTACATCAAATTCAATAAGAATATTGTATAACACTTCTCCCGTAAGAGAGTCATAGGTTTTTTTGAAATCTATAAACAGTTGATGTACAGTCCCATTGAACTCCCATTTTTATTTTCTCTAGTATCTGACGAATGCAAAAGATCTGATCAATCGTTGATCTGTTTCGTCTGAACCCACATTAACGATCCCCAATAATTTCATTCGCATATGGGGTTAATCTTGCCAAAAGAATGTTTGATAGAATTTTGTATGAGGTTGATAGCAGAGAAATTCCTCGGTAATTACCACACTGTCTTGTCCCAATTCTTATGAATAGGAATAATTATGGATTCCTTCCATTGTTGTGGCATCTCTTTCTTATCCCAAATTAACTGAATAAGCTTATGGATCCTCATATGCAACATCTTGATACCTGTTTTAATTAATTCTGCAGGAATTTGATGAATACCTGGAGATTTATAGCTTTTCAACTTTCCAATATATCTAACATCATCAGTCTCATGAACATTTAAGAGCTGGTTAAAGAAATGTTTCCACCTATTCAAAATTTTGATTGAATATGCTAGTAAATTGCTATTATCAATCTCTACCAAATTAGTCTGATGTTGATACCCTTTCTTAAAATCATCTATGCCTCTGTACAGATCTCTAATATTTTTGTCCTAATTATTTGTCTTAAGCCAAATCATTTTGCTTTTCTGATATTCCCTTTTATTATTTCTAAAGGTTCTACTAGCTTCACGTCTCACATTACATAGATTATCTGCATTTGTTTTGTTTGGGTCCTGCAACCATTGAAATTTTGTTTGCTTCCTTCGATCGATTAATTTTGAACACTCTTCATCAAACCACGGTTTATTTTGCTTTCTCCTGTAGTATCCTATTTTCTCTTTGGCTGAAATTTTGTTGCAGTTTCTGACGTTTTCCCACTCCCTGCAGATATCCACACTTTCATTATCTTTATCAGTCTCTAAAATTTGAAACCTATTCGAAATTTCAAATTGAACTGTTAGTGAAACTTGGTCTGGCACAAATCTAAAACTTCTTGACGATGGTGAAGAGTCAATTGAATAAAGATTTACTTGGATATTATCCATCGTCTAGTAATAAAACGTAAAAAACGTAAAACGACGTTTCGGAGATGGGGCTCTATCTCCGTCTTCAGGTTCCTACTCAGTTGGGCCCACTAGATAGAGCTAATCCCTACCTCCGGACCATAGAGCCCCATCTCCGAAACGTCGTTTTTTACGTTTTATTACTAGACGATGGATAATATCCAAGTAAATTTTTATTCAATTGGTCTGGCACATTCAAGAGAAAACAGAAGCTGAGTGTATTTGAGAGAGAAAATGAGAAAGGATGTTTGCATTTAGGAGAGATGAAATTACAGGGAGGGTTGACAAATGTGCGTGAAAATCTCCACAGTTGGTTCCCTTTTTCCAGTATTATCAGGATGTTCTAATCAAGGTCACATAGAATGCATAGAGGGGACATGATATGTGCTTACAAAATATTGGTTCTAAAGTTTTGAGACCCTTCATAACTTGGCAATATTAAAATATATTTTAGTTAATTAAAATGTGGATTGGTCTGATCTGGTGCAGGGCAGGGACTCGTCGTGAGCTATAGCAAAGTAGTTAACGAATCATTTCTATAAAGAGAAGAGAATACCTTGACGAACTGAGCATATGATCAGCTTCTCAATGACTCTGCCCTATGGAGTCCTTTACTTGTTAAACATACAAAAGTACATTTTTGTACTGTTTCCTCAGGAATAAAAAGCAATTTGGATTGATAATTCCTTGGTTGTGGTTGCCAGTTTGAATCCCATGTAACTGCAGTCTTCCACACCTTTAATATTACATGAGTAGGTTAGTTAGACTCTTCTGGTACTAGAGTCAGCGATGGACTTAAGCTATCTCAGGGTTGGATGTGGTGTTGATTAGTAGTAGAGATATCACCATGACCGACCACATATGAATTATAACCAGGTTTGTAATTAGAATGTCTCTTAAAACTGGATACACTTGCCTGCCTGTCACCACTAGAAGCCATACATTTCACCATACAAAACACTCACTCATTATTTATCAAGCATATAAATAAATGTTCATAATGTTTGATGAACTCCAGTTAACATGACTTAAATTTTACAGCACTTGCCTCAGTTTATGACTATGAAATATTTGTAACAGTTAATTTCTTAAAATTGGTTCTAAAATCCTTTTCTAGTCTTAAATTTGACTGATTTATGAAGACATTTCTTCTCTGTATAATATAGTCGGTGCGGGAGTTTTCGGCCGGTAGAGAAGCTAGCGGATGGGCCTACTCTGTGTACCTGAGGTGGCACGGTCAGTGCATTTCTTTTGTTTGGG